GGCAGTTCTCACATTCATCTCAGGTGGAGTTATCAGTCTGCCAGTGCATGCTTTGCTATCTAACTACCTGGAATGAATTTGGGTTCCTAAAAAATGAGTTGTCTCTTTAAAGAGAGCTGTTTGCTAAGAGGTTAGAGTGCTATGCATACACACAATTCTTGAGTTTTCCTGAGAAATACTTCCTCTGGCAATCTTCTTCTCCTGGGATGATAGCCTTGTCATATAAACACCAATAATTTATCGCCTGCTTGTATATTACAGATGTGCAAGATCTCAGACATTGGGTTAATAGAAATGATACTAATGTAATCTGACTAATCCTGTAACTTCTGAACACTACTGCTCAGCATAACAATGTGCTTTTTCAGTCCTTTCTTTCCAGTTCTATGATGACATCACTTACATTTTGTGTGATTAGTAATATCTTTATAGAACTAAGTAAGAGCAAACACCTGGACAGAATCCAGACAATAGCATATACATTGCAAACTGTATTATACTTCATTCACAGCAGCTGGTTTGTGTCCCATAACACCCAATCTGGCATCTCTAGTTCCTTTCTCAACCTTCATGCATTTACACCCTGCAAACCCAAACCCTAGCACAGTGCATTTCAGTGACAGACGGCCTTACTAATCCATCTGATTTAGTTTAGGTTGGCCTGATCCTGCAGACCACTACACTAGATGATAGCCTCCATTGCTTTCAGCTATTTCTATAGGATAAAAGGGTCACTGTTTCCACGAGCAATGAAAAAGTGAGCTGCGCCCTTGCATACTAACTAGGCCAGTGACTGTCCTCCTTACACTAAAATGTAGCCACCAAGACTTTCCTACATAACACTGTATTTCTTAATCACTGGTAATAAAAACATCTGGTAGCAATTTATAACAGTCACTAAAATCACCTCATAGTCAGAAAAGAACTCCTTTTTAATGGCAGAATAATACATTCCTACGACATTCTATTTGAACTGCTTCTGCATATATTTACTCAAAAAATTAGCCCTTTCTGCTAGTGGTGCTATTATTCAAGCATATCAAAGCAAAATTTGAGAGACTACACAAAGATATCTGTCTTATTGAATTTTACTATTTGCGTATTATTACATTCAGATCAATTATTTTTAATTGCAACTGTATCACAGGAGCACTGAGCTTTAATTACGAGCTTGATCAGTTAGATTGACTGGTGCTGCATAAACCTGGAACAAAGAGAGTGCCCTTATTCACTTCTTTCATCTGCCTTTCTCAGCTAATCAGTTGCTAATCTTATATAGAAAATGAAATAATTTACTTGTTTTCATTTTCATTCCTGTAAAACTCATTTCAGCAGTGAATGGAGGAGTGTAGTTCTTTCAGATGAGAAAGATAAATGTATTTTAGTGAAGATCTCCCTTGTAGCATCTAATCACTTCCATTTTGTAAATGTAGGCCTCAGTACTGCAAATACACATGCATGAAAGATCTGTATAGTCCCATTGAACTCAGGCATCAGAATTTTGAAATTATCATAGAATCATAGAATGATTAGAGTTGGAAGGGACCTCAAAGATCATCTAGTTCCAAACCCCCTGCCATGGGCAGGGAAACCCTCCACTGCACCAGGTTTCTCAAAGCCTCATCCAACCTGGCCTTGAACACTTCCAGGGATGGGGCATCCACAACTTCTCTGGGCAACCTGTTCCAGTGCCATATCATTCTAACATTGTAGAATGTTAGATTCTAACTGGCAATTCTAGGATCCTAAATCTAAAAAATAGCTTTTCCTTCGTGGCTTTAAAATTTTTTATTACCAAAGCTCTCTACACTTCTGCTGCTTGCTGTGCACTTTGCTTCCCAGCCCCTGATGATGGCATTAAGCAATTTGGTGCCTTATCCACACCAGGATCATAAGTTTCTACTTTGTTGGCGAGCCTGAACTTTAAGGCAATTTCAAAATCTGCCATGATGTTCTCTCGTAGTGCTGGGAGTCCAGCCACTTTGATAAGGGACACTAATGACATTAATCAGCAGAGCTCTCAAAAGTAGGGTGCTAGAGGACTGATTTTTAGGTTCATTGCATATATAACACCATACACTTAACCTGTAATAGTATATACTCTACAATATGAAAATCGCTGACTCTTTTAAAGGACCGTTTCTGTAGAAATGCCTTTTTCCCCTTATGCACAGTTCACACAATACCATGAGCATTCCGAGTTTTAAGCACTGTGCTATTCAGCAGGTCGTCTTCATAAAATTAATTAAAACCCAAAAATATTTTCCTTAGTCTGAGATATTAAGGAAGCTCAGTTAGCTTAATTAGCATAGCTGTTCTCCTGAAAAAAATCCAACACAGAACAATGTGGGGTTTAGCCCTTTTGTGCATAGAATATCCTGCGATGGGCCTAGGACATGAGGACACGAGCTACAGTTTGTTCTTGCAAATTCTCTGTTTCTGCTTTATTTCTGCAGGTCATCAGATAGTTACCACTGTAGTATTTCTTCCTTTTCTCCATGATAAGAAGGAAAAACGATGCAGTAGTTGGAAAAAAAAAAAGAGATAATTTATTTATTTGAAATCGTACCAAATAACTAAGTATTTTCAGTTGGAAATCAGGAATACCTGTCCTTGTTAATACTACTCACTAAAGAAAACTTAGAGACAAATTTATGTTATCAAATAGTTCAATATGCTTAAATAATTTATGTTTCCTCCCAGCTCCAATTACAGGACTATTACAAGATTTCAGATTTCCCTAATTCAATAGGTACATTTGTTTGGGCCATGTATTTCACATTTAATAAAAGGCCATACATTTAATAGAGATTTAATTTGATTTAATTTAACATACGTAGTGGAAAGATGATATACTATATTATTTTAAATTTATTTAGTATAACATAAATTCACATCTCCATTACGTTCCTCTATATTTTAAGACACGTTTACTTTATAACTATGATCTTGACTTACAAAACGGAAGTTACAGTATTTAATACTAAAGGTGTATTTGGGCATTTAAAATGTAAACATGGTAAAAAGGAATTACTACATCAGGGTTCTGCATACACAGCTATTATTTTTAAGAGATTGCACTATAGAAGAATTAGTGGACAGGATAGAGAATCAAAATTAAAAGCGTGCGTTAGAGATGAGTGAATCCGATTTAGTAAAATATATTTTGACACAGCAGTTGTTTCTTGTCAGTTCAATGAGTTTTACTCAGGGGATATCACTTCTGGCCATAATCTACATGCTTCAAATGATAATCTGCTTTACACACAACTGCTTTTTGTCTGAATTCATGCAAAGTTTTATAAGAGCTATACTTCTGATTTTTCATAGTTTATGGCATTTAATAGTGAATTTTAAGACTGTTTATGGAATGCCATCTATTCAATGAGACAGAAGAATGAGTGTTTCCTTGTGCAGTTAGTATAGGATTGTATACTTTGTATAAACATACTCCCCAAAAGAAGCATCAAGAATCTAGAAGCAAAGAGAGGTGTTGAAAACAGTTTTAAATTCACGAACACCAATTCTTAGGTTACAAGCGCATTCAACATAGATCAGAAAGGATGAAGTGTGTCTTAGATTTGAGGTCAGCATATCAGCACACTGCAACTGAATAGCATTTATAGATGTATTCAAAGAGTAATAAAGTCACTGAATATATCAAGAGAAAGATTTATGCCCACATCCCAAAGAGATTATTTCCTTCACTGGAACTCAAAATTTCAGTATTTGCAGGCAGACAGTTACTCTTAGAAAGTTCTGAACAATATATTTTGAACAGTAATTTGTTACTGAAAGGTTAAAAGTTATTTCCAGTTATCAGTAGGTTATCCTCAACAGCTCATTGACATTGGACTAAAGCAGAAAAGAAATATTGCAAAGAAGCAAAATAGATGAATGAAAGCTGTATAATTTAAATGTAAAAAATTACTTCCTTTTCCTTCTGGTTCAAGCATTTTATGTGGCTCGAGTGTACTCTTGTCATTCAAACTATTGCAACAATAGAAGCTATCGAGCTTTAGATTTCGATCTTAAAATCTCACTTTGTCCAGATTTATTAGATTCTGAGAAACTCTTAATGAAGTCTGAATGAGAACAGGAAGTCTTTTTTTTTTTCCGATTGTTAATACCAGATAAAATTTCAGAAAAACTTTGGATAAACGCCAAGCATATACAGGAAAGTTAACATATCACATATTCAGAGGAAGTAGAGCTATTTTCTCCAACAATATCACATGCAAATATTCAGCTGAGACAGGGAAATAGAAAGAAAAAGTATTTGCCCTTTACAAAGTCTGGCCCTTGGTTAGTACTTCCTACTACTGCTTTTGTTGTTGTATCTAATCTTGTACACACGTACATGAGATACATATAGGCACAGGAATCTGAATATTAAAAGTGAATGCCTTTTAATATCATAATATGTCACAGTCAGATAATATAAGAAAATTACAATCAACTGCTTTCCCTTGTTTTGTACCAATTTCAGAGAAAAGTATTTTTTCAATTCAACTAATACCTCACTCCTGCAGAAATTCTCATTCATTGCTCTCTTCGAAGAATTTGCACCTAACAGTTCAAATTGACATAAATTCATAAACATAGCTTTGGCAACCCGCCATTTCACCTCAAATAAAAGGAGAGAGACATCTGAGTGTGAAGGGCCTATTTTATCCTTCATGGGCTGAGGAGGGTAAGATTTTCCCAAGCACCCAAGTGAATTGGATGTTGAGCTCATTTTGATGCTTTTGTTAATTCCATTAACAGAGTACCTGGCTATTAAGATTTCACAAAGGATGCATAACACTGGTGCTTTTTTCTAGTTCAGCATGGTATAGAACGGCAGATAACACTTTGTGATTAACAGGTACAAGCAGGTCCCCTATATTATCTCCTCCTTATGACATTTACTTAAGTTATCACTATTTGGTACGTCCCTGCTTTTCCAAATTTACAGATGACTTAAGAGTTTATTTATGGTTTGTTTGTTTTTTTTGCAGTTGGGTACACAATGAATGATCTCATTTTTGAATGGCAAGAAAAGGGAGCAGTTCAAGTAGCAGAAGGTCTCACTCTGCCACAGTTTCTGTTGAAAGAAGAAAAGGATCTATGTTACTGCACCAAGCATTACAATACAGGTAGGAAAGAAAATTAGTGATAAAAACTGGAAAGACATTTAACATTAATTGTTATTTTGGAGAGTTGTTTTATTTAAAAAAACTATTCTCACTGAACTCACAAGAAGATTAAAAAATACAGGTGTGTTGTACAGGATAATGCAGTCTTAAATAACTGATACAACAAAACAAAACTACCTGAAGGCTGATCAAACTTCTATTTCAGTAAACTTAAGAAAGTACATAGTTGAAATAATTCAGTTTTATTTTTACAACAGGTACCATGACCATATCTACACTGTGGGATCTGAAGCACTGCTAGAATCCAAAAGGTCCATATGCTGTGCGTTAAGCATGGCCTGGCTCAGTCAAGAAAAAGGGACACAGGGTTGCCAAGCCAGCTATCCCTGCCCTGGTTTTTACAGTAAGGGGGCAATGCAAACAAGCTGAAAGCATCCTTAATGTACAATGGCCAGGTGTCCAAACTAGATGTGGCCTTTCTGAGTTGAAGCCTTTGTAGAATCGCACTATTTAGCTCACGATCTCTGGGATTATTTGAAAAAGAGGAGGTTTAACATTACTAATATAGTTATTTTATTTTTAATTGTAAAAAATTATCTCAATGACTGGACAATCGCATTAATAATAATCCTCAAAAAAACATATAATGAAAGCTAAGAATGCATAGCTTCCATCTTCTCACAGGAAAAAAAAACCCAACAATCTAGAACTCTTTCATTCTAATATATCTCTCTCAATTTCTGCTTTCCAGTGTGATTCTTAATAGATGAAATGTATCTTGAAATTTCAGCTTAGATCAGATTTATTTGGATTCTGCTGAAACGACAGAAGGAGCAATATTCAATAGGTGACACTCCTAAGGAATGTCCTGTTGCAATCAAATTTAAGGAAGAATGCTTTTCAATACTGAGTTTTATCACAGCTACCATGGTGCCCTAAGGGAGGGAAAAGTTCTCTAATAATTTCCATTTAGAGTGAGGAGATATTGATAGAAACATTTTGAAATGTTCCCTAAAATAAATTAGAAATACATAACATGCATTTTTACTGTATAAACACTAATATCTGGCTAATCCTTAAAGTCCTTCCAGAACTGCAAATATATATCCTACAGCAGGGCATTTTTTCACTCAAATATCCTTTTGTTAATGATAATAATGAAATTAATATTATTCCTTTTTTCTTTTTACCATAATCCCTATGACAAGAACATTTTATTTCCATTATTTTTCTCTGTCTCCTTTGAGATATATAGACAATCTCCTCTTCCTTTTTAGGATTCTCCTGCTTTTGTGCCATTTTAATATGTCCCTGTAACTGTACTTACATAACCTGTATAGTGACATTAACAAACAAGAATTTGTGGTAGAAAGTATTCTTCCCATTTTTCCAAAGTTCGTTTGGACAATATGATGCACCAAAAGTCTCTAATCAAGGAATTAAAATATTACTGTGGCACTTAATCTGATATTGAATGGAAACCTGTTTTAAAATGTCAGAAGTTCCAGCTATTTCCAAATATCTCTCCAAACATCTCATCCAAAGCCAAATTGTATTCTTACTTACTTGTCTGAGAATTTTCATTACATTCATCATAGTTTAAACCTTTTGTTTGACTGAAACTTTTGTTTTTTTCAAAATTTTTGAGCCACTACCTTTTTCTTTGTTACCTATATTTCAAGCCTACTCAAGTTGGTACTAATTTTCTTCCAAGCAGAAATAGGAAAACATGCCAGGCTTAGGCATAACACGCTAGGTCACACAGGGTCAACTTACATCTACTATGTCTTTCACTATGGCCCTAAACTGAGCTGAGAAATGGGAGAAACAGATCTTAGCAACTGCACGTGAGGTCTCATGACTCTCAAAATATGCCTGTAAGAAAAGTGTGCTTATATTTGTGAACTGCTGTCACATTTAGGTGGTAGAAGGGGTTTACTGTCATAACTCCAGAGGACAACGTGGCCAATCATCAGTCCATTTCTGTATCGCTTCAGCCAAACTGCATTTCTATGGCCAAATGGATGCTCTAAAATGTGAATGCAGCCCACAACCCTGAGAAGGGTGCAAATCTGGAAGAACTTTGGCATGGAAAACCAGAAAGAAAAGACAATCTTACTCACACAAGACTGAATATAGTGTGACATTCTCCTCTTCAAGATAATAGTTTTTTCTCCAGAGTATTTATTTTTTTATTCAAGTCTTCAGTATTAAGTTAGTTTAATTAAATTAAAAGAGCTTGGTTTCTAGAGGGGTGGGAGTGCATTTCATGTCTTTGTTACAACCAGTATTATTAACTACAATGTGTAGGTTAAAAACCCCTAAACATTATATTAAAAGACAACAACAACTAAGAGGTTTTTTCCTTCCATTACATCATTCAGATATGTGACCAGTAATGTGCTTTCTTAAGGCTCCTGCAACGAGACACTGTAGATAGATATCTTTTAAGATACTCTATAAGAAACAAAAGAAGTCATTTTCCAAAACTAGAAATAAAGCCTATTTCTCCATCCTAAAACAGATTAGATTAAAAGGATTCTTGAAAGAATGCTGAGCAACTGCAGCTAGTATGCAGTAAGTGACCAAAGAAGTTCTCAATCTAAATTTAGTTACAACACAGGATGGAAAGCTTTTCTGAGACATCTCATAAAACAGAAAAAAATACCCAAAAATCTCCCTATGAAAAAAATTCGCATGAAGCTTCAGGACGGTATGTGGAAACTCATCAGTGCACATCTCATCAGTGTTTCATGCTCAATTGAAAATGGATCACTGGAACCACAGCTTGAAAAATAAACTGCTTCTAAATATAGGGACGTAACAGTTTCAGCAACAGTACAGCATAATGGCTCATCAAGTCTCGTTTTCTGAAGTGATGCAACAACATTTTTAACCATTTTCACATTTTTGTGTCCACTGGCATATCAATAGAGAGAAATTTAGAAAGTGACGTAGAATCATAACAACCAGAAAAATCACAGAATGCAAACTGTTCATATTACAAGGATCGTCTTGCTTTACTGCATCCTCATTCACTTCCTAAGTCACATGCATCACTCCCCTGAGCTTTTATGCAGCACTCAATTTTGGTTTCAGTCACAAGTACTTTCAATTACGGCTGCAAAAAGGAAGATACATGATAGCATGAATTTATGCATAATAGCACTGCCTAACAGGCACAAACAGAAATACTCTGAATCTCAGCTTTACTCCTGCACCATGGATAATGTGCTATACCTGCACTTGAATGATGCTGCTCAGAACTGTCTTATGTCTATTGATGGGTTTTGGTTCAAAGTTTGGATGAAGTGTTCCTGGAGACAGTGGAGTTATGGTTGCTACACTTTCCACCAGAAGTGTATGTGACCACTTCTGATAACTCTGTATCCTTAATACAGTAAATCTGTGTGACAAAAAGAGACTCAACTACAAGGTCCAAGCAAACGGTCTATTCGGACTGCACTTACAGGTTTCACTAAGGTCCAAAATAATAATCTACTCGAACTGCACTTGCAGATTCAATACGCCACTATTGAAAGAGTCTCGACTACAAGGTCCAAGCAAACGGTCTATTTGCACTGCGCTTACAGGTTTGACTGTAAGGTCCAAGATAACAATTTACTTGAACTGCACTTGCAGATTCAATACGCCACTATTGCAGGTTCTTATGGATACAATGGAGAAATGCACTATTGCAATTTAAAACCAAAATATACACTATTACAATACACTGTCACAGCACATGAGAGTCACAGAATGTACTATTACAGCACAGCAGTCACAGAATACACTATTACACACACACAATTTAAAACCAAAATATACACTATTACAATACACTATTGCAGCACACAAGAGAGTCACGGAATGCACTATTACACACACACAATTTAAAACCAAAATATACACTATTACAATACACTATTGCAGCACACAAGAGAGTCACGGAATGCACTATTACAGCACAGCAGAGTCACAGAATGCACTATTACACACACAAGAGCGAGAGAACATACAAGTGCACTAGACTTAAAGCATGCTAAAAAGAAAAAAAAAAGAAATCGCTTACCCCCTCAGGTAAGGGCTCTCAATTCCAGGGTTACCTTGGCCGACGTCCCAGTCAAGGGGGGAAAGAATCTCCTCACAGACCAGCTGTGTAGTTGGAGAAGCAACTCCCCGTTTCCAATCCAAATCGCAGGGCTTTTATCCCCTGATGTACGTGTGACTGTGTAGGTACCATGCCTAAGGAGGGTCTTTAAGGGTGTGACAGGGAGTTTCCCCTTATTGATTGTACCTGAGGGGGGGTGGAGGGGGTCTTTAAGAGTCTTCAAGGGTGTGACTGGGAGTTTCCCCTTATCGATTGTGCCTGAATACCTTATCTCAAGCAACTGGACAACGGTTGGATTGAGACTCAGGGCATATTCTTTGTTGAGGGATTTCAAGGCCTTAATCAAGATTTGGTTCTTTGAATAACGCAGCACTGACTCATCAGACAACTCAGGGCTGAGCGATCTACACAGCTCCCCGTGGGTCATCTCTGCCTCAATGCAATACAAAGCAGGGTTACTTCTACAATCCCCCTGCATCACCTGTGTGCTGGGCATTGCCAAGGAACTTGATTTGAATTTATGAGCCGGATGATCCATACAATCTGCAACCTCAATGAACAGCCCACTTCCTTAACTTCACATTCCCCATTCGACCTCGTAACACATACATCACATACACAATCTTTTCTCATGATCCCTTTGGTTCCCTCTTAAGGTCAAACAAGTTGCTTAGCAACATGTATATTGTACTCCTTCTAGGTGCTACCTTCAACCGACTTAGTGCCTTATATTGGGCCATTTTGCTGCCAATACGATAGTGATTAAAGGAGACATAACTTTGATGCCTTACTCTGCCAAGAAGAACTCAAACCACTACTTGTTTTTATGAACATCTAAACCACTCTTTTTGAAACTACAGCAATGATTTTTAAGCCATGGCTTTTTAAC